CATCTCAAAAACGGCTGGACCGAATTACTTGAAATTTACAACTCACACACTCAATATATTTAAACGCATGGAATGAACTATTATCAATCAAAAATTTTCAAATTTTTTATAGCAAAAAACAAAAAAAAACGCCTAATTTGTAACTTTTATTTCAAATGTCTATCAAAAAACGCCGTTTTTTTTTTCAGATAAGCCGATCAGCCGGAATCGTGGAGGAAGTGGGAGCTCTTTTTTTCGAGGCGGGGGTGTTCAGAGCGCTGTAACTCTAGTTTGACTGAATATTTTCAGCTGAAATTTTATAATTATACTGTCCAAATATGTGTTAATAAATGATAAAAAACTTGAAGCTCTAAATATTTACTGGTCGTAGAAAAAAAACTAAAATATCCCTAAAAAACAGGCCGGTCACATAGGAAGACCCCCTTAAATCATGTAGCATGGAACAAAACAAATTTTAGTCTTTCTATAATTGTCTTATATTTCATATTTTCCTAAATTAATTTGAATGCACAAACTAAAACGAAATCCATAGCAGGCAGTGAATACAACACGTACATACGAGGTATATCCAAAAGTTGTTTTAATGTTTCATTCCCCTATTGTTTCGTGAATGGCCACTTAAGGTCTGTCAAGGTTAACACCCTCAACCAATAGAATTTCTATATGGTCGAATGGGGTCTTTTGTTTTTAGATGGGAGAGAACGAACGCTGATGATAAAAACGTCACACTATACATTTCGCTTCTTCCTTTCCTTCGTATGTAAGATCCAGCGGAGAGATTCCCACTCCAGGCACCGCTCGGCGGTTCGACGGCTCAGAAAGGTCGATATAATGAGGAGTTTCAAGTTGAAACAACGGGGCAGACTGCTAGACTCTTCACTTGGAAGAGCGAGGCGGCGACGACTAGTAGGTGTATAAGACAAAAGAACAGATGGTGCCGGACGATAAAAAAACACAACCCTCTTGGAAAATGGTAGTCGTTATTATTTAGTTTTATTTTATTTCATCTTTTTTGAACAAAACTGAGGTTATTATATATCATTAATTCGAAATATAATTATAGATTTATTAAAGAATTGTACACCAAGAACATGCAATATCACGCGCTCAGTTGCATGTAGTACTTTTATAAATAGAACCCAATAGTATACAAAAACACTGCTCTTATATATAATAATTGTCACAATAGCTTATAAGATAAATTGTATCTTGATTGCTATTAATAAATAAATAAATATATATATATATATATATATATATATATATATATATATATTAACAAAGTCTAATAATCGGGCATAACATCAATAAAAAACTGTTTTTTATTGATGTTATGCCCCATTATGAGACTTTGTTAATACATATGTCAACATCAAATTCAGAATCATACAATATATATATATATATATATATATATATATATATATATAATTATATAATATTCAAAAGCGCATTGTTAACTTCCCGTAGGGTAAGTTATTGTAATGGGCCGAAAATCGGAATTGAAAATTTTTACATTTCTCGACGTTTTGAAGGTTTCTGAACATTTTGGCATACCTCAGAAAAAATGGATGTGTGTGTGTATATGTGTGTGTGTATGTATGTATGTATGGATACAAATTTCCAGTCACGTTTTCGGGCGCACGGATCAACCGATTTGAATGGTTCAAAAAACATTCGATTCCTATCGATAGGGAAAAGAGCTGATTAGTTTTTGGCAAAGGCAGGCCCAGCCATTTCGAAGATACGGAGCTAAATATGTAAAAAATGGCAGTTTTTGAGAGAACTAAGCGTCCGATTTGAATGATTCAAAGAACTTTCTGCTTGTCTTAACAAAATAATTGATTTTGAAAAAAAAATTCTTGTTTCTATTTTTTCTTTTTTTTAATTTTTTGTATATCGAAAATAATTCAGATTTTATTTTCTGACTATAGTTCTAATATACTTTAAACAAATAATTTCAACTTTGCAATTCAGTTTATATAATTCTTATAAATATTAGACAATGTTACAATATTTATAATAATCTATTTGAAAACATTCAGTATTCCTCGAACATTTCGTTACGGTACGGGAAGTTCCAGCAATTTTCCTTAAGGCACTATGCCACCCACCCCACTAGTTTCTTTTTCAATTTTGCCAATGTATATTCAGTTGATGCAAAATTCTTATCTATAATCTTCCCAATCTTTTATCTCCAGGAACGGGGACAAAAACTCACTTACACATTGGGCATCAAATTAATTGTAAATAGAACATCGAGTGTCTAAATAAAATCGCTATTTTCATGATAAACAACTTTAATCCAGTCTAATCAAGCCCATCCTCAACAGATATGTTTTATTTCTACTTCAAAAAAAAATTTTCAATTTCTTTTTCACGCTTTTGGTATTACAGCATATACATATTATTAGTGCATTGTTATGTCTCTGATAGCCTGATGTCCAGAATTAATTTTCACTTGAAAATGTAGATAGTAATATGTTTTTAAATAAAAATAGCCCTTAGCCGGCATTGATGCATCATAAAAAAATGCAGTATCACAGAAATTGCAATAATAAATTCACATAGAGAGACAACAACCGTCCATAAAATATTAATGTCCTATCAATGACTTATATACATAATAGCAACATTATTCTACCAGCGCAAAATATAAATTTCATGGGGACATTTTTTATAAAGATAGCACTGTATACTGTAATAACTTTGATCAGGCATTTCATCAGAAACATTCATCAGCAAAGTTGGAATAACCATTCATTTAATTGATTTTTCATAAAATTGTTTTTTAACTTAATCATTAATTCTTTATTTAAATCTGATATATTTGCCTGCAATTATCATGTACCATTCATACGTGAAAAACAGATATGTTCTACTATAAAACGGTTTTCGAATTCCATACTTTTTTGCAAAAAACACAGGTTTTGAAAACCGACAAACCATTATGCCAACATTATACAAGTGAATTACAGAATCAAAAATATTTTCATCCAAACGGTGTGGTCCATCTTGCCCTATACATACATGAATTGTAGTTATGAGATTAGAGCCTTAAAATCTTCAATGCATATTATTATTATTTTTCATACTCTGCCGCGGATTATTCGTGAACTAAAACTATCATGGATCACAATCTACATTGTATTTTCAAACCCAGCTTATTTCATTGTACCGTATTTTCAAACCTAGCAAATTTCTGTACCGCGTTAGCAAAGAAATAATGGAAGAGATGCGCCTGGCAATGCCAGAATATATGCCGATGGCGCTAGTAATATAACTATTAAATTTTACTCTTGTTTTTACTCTTAATAAATGAAATTGTATGTACAGATTTTTTTAAAATACGTATAAAACCGTAACCCCATTTTCATAAAATATGTTGTTTAACCTACCAAAGTCTGCTTATCTTAAATTTAAACATTATAATATTTAATTGCATAGTTAAAGGAATTTGTCGATTATTTAAAAGATAGCTATAATTAAATCATAAATAGTTAAGAAATTAGTGCCTCAAAACGTGCTGCAATGCAGAAATGTTTGTGCAATTATTATTTTGTTAAAATTCTAATATTCATATACTTTTTCGCGGAATATTTATGAACTATCATGGATCACAATCTGCATTGTATTTTCAAACCCAGCTTATTTTCATAGTATTATATTTTCAAACCAAGCAAATTTCTTTACCGTGTTAGCACAGAAACAACGACAGAGATGAGAATATAGGCCGATGGCGCTACTGATATAACTGTTATAAATTACTCTTGTTCGTACTATTATTAAACAAAATTTTTATTGTTATGAAATTAAATTAAATAATTAGATTTTTTTAATCCCATAAAAAACCTGAGATGTCAAATTAAATATGTTTGACCTACCGAAGTTAGCTTATTTGAAACCATGGTAATAAGTTTCTCTACAAATTAACTTGAATATTTTATTAACCATCGGTGGTAGACCTTTTTAACCCCGGACCTTCATATATTACTATCTATTCTTCGATAAATTCTGGGAAATTATAACTGGGAAAATGTTATTCGATAAAATGTCCATTTGATTGATACCAAATATAGGTTCTGAATTTAAATAACATAAATAAACAATAATATGATCTAAATGTTTTATAAATACCAATGAGTATATAATTGTACAAATGAGATTTTTCAGAGCACCGTGTTTGAGAGAAACATGCCAGAAAGTGCATTTTCATATTGAGTTGATATTTTGAGTTTCTAGTAACACTTGTGATGCTTTTAATAACGTTTTTGTGTATAAATATAACTACGAACAAAACTGCTTATTACAATTTAATCATAATTAAATAATATTCACGTAAAACATCTTTTTAAACGTAATTGAACATCATCTGTCAAAAACGTTTGACGTTTGATGTATTAACCGCCGTCCATCGTTTTATTTAAATTACGCTTCTACAAAAATTTTAAAATTAAAAATGTAAAGTCTCTACACGATTTTGAAATAATATCTCACCTTTCCGACAACCTACTTATTAGCACGAATTTTTCAAGACTAAGACTGGCCAAATCGGTTTAGACGTTTTCGAGTTTTAGCGGATCATTTTATCGAGCTCCATTTTTATATATAAGATAATTATTATATTATATAAATTAAATTAAATGATTAGTTTTTTTTAATCAAGTAAAGAGCCTGAGATTTCATTAATAAAATATGTTTCACCTACCGAATCTAGCTTATTTGAAACCACGGTGGTATTTTTTTCTCCAAATTAACTTAAACATTTTATTAATATATAATTGTTAATTAATGAATTTGTTGATTGCCGATACGAAGCAGAACCCAAATTTAAATCATAAATAATTCTATTAAAGGAAAAATACATACAAATATATTTAGTCGTTTTCACAACCTATTGCCAAGTGCAAGCAACTTTGATTGTAGTTACATAAATCACTCACAAGCGCCGCCACCGTTAACAAGTGCACGTGTTAGAAATAAAGGTTATTCGGATTGTACAAAATGTTGCTTTGTTTATATTTAACGTGAAGGCACATTGGAAATTATTATTTGGATACAAGAAATTCGACTGAAACGATATAATCATCAAGATTAAACCATGTGACAACATCGTTATACTATAAACCAGGTAAGCCTTTTGACAATCATTTTCGTGGCTATGGAAATTGTTGGAAAAACCTAGGTTACGGTTAATCTTTGTGGTACGATTTTTTTTATTCTTTGGAAATACCTTGATCCATATATAGTTCCTCCTCCATATTGATAGTATAGCCCAATTGATTTTAACTGTACGTTTTCGAATTTATATTTAAATTTTAATTTTTAATGATTGCAGTGTTTTAGATCCATTGTCATCATTTTGCAGAAGGTTAATATCGAGTAATACATTTCCATAATCAAGGATTGATAAGGGAATAACAGGTAAACACAAACATTATAGCAGATTTCAGTTTACTTCCAATACTATCTTTTCATTATTATTTAAATCAAGACTTGTTCATAGACCCTTGCGGTATTATCATTTATAGATTTATTTTAGCATTTGAATAATTTTCTTCCCACTTGTGAATAATATGTATATATCTGCTCTTGAAGTTTATAGTTATAAAGAATTACAGAACAAATGCATGTGACATCGCTTTTAAAATTGATTTTATTATGATTTTCATACTATATATATTTTATATTATTAAAAATCTTCTCCCATGTCAATTTTTATCTTTTAGATACAATGGCAGGCTTGGAATTGGCTTTAGACTTATCACGATCAACATTCTCTTTTGATGCATTAGGCCGTAATGCATACAAACAGTCTTCACTGAGTTCCAGAATTTTGAGTTGTCACGATATACATGGACTTCAATATGTTCCAGGAGAGTTTGGGGGCTATCAAACGGTCCTTAAGAAAGGTTGAGTCTTTTCTGTAGAAATATTATATTCTTCATGATAAATGGATGAATTCCACAAAACTGTTATATCCTTTAATCTTCAAAATCATGTTAATTTGTTTTAGTTTTTAGAATTCTTAATTAGGAATATATTTTTCATATATTTTAGATCTTCATCCTATATCTTCGTTAGCTATGCTTGCTTATAGCAGTAGCGAGTCAGAGAGAAGTCATTCCACAAGCAGTGAAACGAGTGGCTTCAATTCCATGAGATCTTTTTCTCCAATTGAATCAATATCGATGAAGGTGAAATCACAATAAAAACAAAAATTTAATATCACTAGAATCCACTTTAATACAAATATTTTTATTTCCCTCAGCTCAAATTTAATGAAGCAAAATTAGAACCTGTGATGTTCGAATCACGTAATATTTTGGATCTAAATGGAAATGTAAGAGGAGACAACATCCCATTTTATACCCCTGCCAAAACCAATCAGAACTATTTTTCCTACAACAAATGTACAACTAAGTAAGTATTTCTAATGTTAGTATGAAACTTGAATTCAAGCTTTCAATTTTTTTTTCTGCAGACGATCTGAATGCCCTGACTGCGGATTTGAAACACTGGACTAATTTTATCAATTTCTGACTTATCACAATGTGATATTTTATTCAATTATATTAATTAATAATCTAAAATGACGGACCAACGTTTCATGTTGGCTACTTAATAATATACTCTTTCATTTATACTTTTATATAGATATGTAAGTTGTGATACAAAGTACTGTGACTCATTATAAATCGACTGACAAATTCATGATCTATGAATCTCGTGCCTTATAGGTGCTGTGCAATAATAAGCTTTAAAATATTTTAGTCATAGTTAATATTTATTATATTTATAACCGCTTGTAATAAAATATTTATAATCAAAATATTTTCATTGTCTTTCTTAATTAATTTTGTGGTCACCAATTGAATATATGTGTTCACAGGTTTTTAAGAATTTGTTTAAAAAAAAAAATTAACAAAAATTTTGACAGAGTATGCCTGCCTTTGTGTAAATTAATGCACTATAGCAACATACAAGATGCTAAGAAAACAAATATTTTAACTATAATAACAATAGTAAGTAGACATCTTCCACAAATTTCAGTAAGCATTTGACCGTGTGTACTTTCAAACCAGTATTTGATTTATTTGCTTGGGCAGGCATAACAATACTTCTTGGATAAACAGCACAAGTCAGTTCTTTTCCTATCCCACTATCATAAGAATGTAAAATTTTCAAAGTGGCTACTTGTAATAATGAATTAAGAAGGCAGAAAAAGTAACTATAAAAACAATACTTCGTCCGTAATTGTACAACCTACGCCTGAGAATACCACAAAATCGTGGAAATTTAGAAAATCATAACGAAGTTTACTATTGTTATGAGGCACAAAGGAAAAGGGATTTTTAGAAAAACTTGATAAAAATCGATGTGGCAAGCAGTCAGCCCACCTTCTATTCTAAATGGGTGTTGTGTGTTGCCTTTATAATAATACACGTACATTTGGAATCGGAGTCGTCAATGCCCATTGACGTCATGTATTCAACAAAGCCATCCGTGTTATATTGTTGCGGGCGTCGACAATAGACTACAGCCACAATATAACTCTACCCAGTCAATGAGGACTGAACTTCGAAGCACTGCAAAGAGCTGAGGCTCTCGTCTTCTACGGCGCCGATGTGCTCCTTCGAAAAATAAATAGTCGAAAGTTGAATGCAAGTTTTATTTGCAAAATATTGGTCAAAGTATTCTGATCATGCCCAACGCTTGGTTGTTGCTCCAGTCATCAATAGCAGATTGATGGATCAGAATATCTCGCCCTTTCCCTTGACTTTCTTGGTATACGAAATCAAAAATTAAGTCAGTAGTCAATAGATCGAAATATCTGGCCCTTCTCGTTGACTTTCTTGGTATACGAAATCAAAAATCAAGCCAGTAGTCAATTTTTGGCTATTTATCTGGATTTTTTTATTACTGCGTTAACAAGTAACGTATAGTAAAATGGATAGTTCTAATTAGTATAAGGTTGCTCAAATTGTAGCCTCTGAGTTATAATAATCGGTGCATTTAAATTAGGAAAAATCTCTGGCGTTTATTGAATCTATATTTGCTCCACTTTTACTTAACAATTTTCACTTAAATTTGATTGATTTTTCTTTAAATAGGTATTTTTACGCCTTTCTAAAATGTGCTTTCGATACGATTAAGGCGTCTGCCTACTCAACGTGGTCATTCAATCCCACCTACCTACCACATGGAATTTTCTTTTTTTCATTTTCGGTAGTTATTAGTTACCAGATCGAATATAATTATTTAAATAATATCTAAAATAAAAAAAACATTCTCAAATAGTAGTAACAAAGGCACTTAGAAAATTATTAAGTATCTGTGTGCTCCTAACTTCCGATGGTAGTTCTTAGTACAAATTTAATAAGATAAAGCCGTCATTGGTTTAAGCCCATTTGTTATTTTTTCATCTGAGCAAAAACTTTAAAAAAATATTTAGTCATCATTTATTCGTTTTTACCAAAAAAATCCTTCAAAAATCATCATTTTTTCGTTTTTAACGAAAAAAAACCTAAATTCTGGGGTACGACTTCGGCGGTGGAACGTCTTGAGCAACTTACGACCCTACTTCTGTAATCAAGGATTGCATTCATTTAATGAATATTCTATAGCTATATCGCAATTATATTGATCTACACTGGGCGATATCAACATATGTCTATAGGCAGCCGGGGTAATTTACCGTTAACAAAAATAAGGTCTTCATAATAATCAATTGATAATTAAAGGTCAATCATAATAATCAATTAATAAAATATAGGATTTAGAAGAAAATGTTGGAAATTGTGTATAACAACATTTATGCTTTTCCAAAATGAGGTTCGATCCAGGTTTCCAACTCCCACACAACGTCTGAAATCTCTAATAAACAAATAACTGAAAAAAATATATTCGCCGTGCATTGTATCTGTTTTGTGTATGTATGTATTAATGATGTTTAATGAAAAGGCTTTTCCGAAGTTGTCTAAATCAAAATGGCATTGTTTGTTGTTCGGGGCTGTTATTGTTTCAATGGCAAGAGTGGGGTATGGGGGCGAGGCGCCCCGTGCGCATCATAAAGCGATGTTCTCTCTCTGAATACAATCACAACAATGGAAAGCAATACAATGTGCGATAACAATAATGCGAACCGACCGAATAGGCCGTTCTGAAATATACGGCGAGACCGAAAGCACGGCTCCAAAACACTGTTTAAATTTCAAATCGAATGCACATGCTGACGGACCCAGAAGTGAACGGTAATCGAAGGCCTGGGCACAGGATTTATGAGAAATAATGGGATATGGTTTAGTTTACGATCCAATAACTGACCAGAATGCAGCAATTTGAAACAATAGTTTCCCCATACAGTCATAAAACATGTCCTTTTCAATATCTGCTAAAATAGTAGGGTAAGTTATAGTAATAGCAAAAAAAAAACAAAAATGAAAATATTAGCATATCTTTACGTTTGAAGACCCCCTGAACATTATGGCATTCGGAATACCTAAAAATATTAATTTATGTGTGTATGTGTGAGGGCGTATGTATTTATGTGTATGTGTGTATGTGCGGATACAAAGTTCCGTCGACGATTTCGAGAGTACAGATTCGAAATATATTCGATTTTTATTGATGACAAGACGTGCTGGTTACTTTTCCTTTTTTTACTAAATAGATAAGTCCTGGATTTTTTCAATATATTGATTGTTTCTTTTCCGAACAGTAAATCCAATAATAAAAAACAATTTGTTTTTGAAGATGTTTAATAACGACGTTTCGGAACTAGGTACGTTCCATCATCAGGTTTATTCTGTAATAATTTATATATCCATATCACTGGACATGTGTTAAGTCTTGTGTAGTTTTAACATCTATAAATATCCTCCAAAAATCGAGTGTTTTTAACAAAAAAAAAAAAATATTAGTGATATGGATATATAAATTATTACAGAATAAACCTGATGATGGAACGTACCTAGTTCCGAAACGTCGTTATTAAACATCTTCAAAAAACAAATTGTTTTTTATTATTGGATTTACTGTTCGAAAAAAAAACAATCAATATATTGAAAAAATCCAGGACTTATCTATTGAATATATATATATATATATATATATATATATATTATATATATATAAATTACACATTTTCAGTTATGGAACAAATATGATGATTATTACTCTGCGCAGGAAAGATTTTTTCAAATACAGAAAAAGGCGGAAGACGGGAGTAAGTATATAAAATAGGTGAGTTATTATTATTGTTTTATTTTACTTTAAATATTATATATTTACTAGTTTAATATATACAAAATAATTACGTTTTATATTTTATTATATATTTTTATTTGCAGAACAAATACGATGATTATACTCTTCATAGGAAAGATCTTCTCAACACCAGAAAAGACGGAAGACGGTCAGTGTAGAAAACAGAGTTAACATATTTTTCACTTCACTTCACTTCAAATATATTATACATTAATAATTTAATAAATAAACAAATAATTACAATTTATACGATATTAATGTTGTCTTGTGTAATTTACACATCTTTAGTTAGAGAAGAAGTATGAAGATTTATCCTGCAAGGAACAATATCTTCCTTAGGAAACAAAAAAGGGCAAAAGACAGGTAAATGAATAAAGCAGGTAAGCTCTAACATAGTTGTGTTTTATTTTACTTTAATGACTTGATGGATTTATTAATTCAATAAATCAAAAAATACAATTTAAACGATAATAATTTTGTGAATTGTGAATATATTTTATTCGTTACTTTTTACATTTTGGCTAAATAAATTCAACAATTTCTGATTGAACTTTTATATTTATCTCAATTATAAAACAAATTATTCAACGGCCTTATGAAGATAACCCGGCTGTTCCTTAAAAACGGGATTTTATATTTTGTAGCAACGTTTTAAAAAATATGTAATCCCTTTTAACACAGTATTTTCATAAAAGAATAGAATAGCGGATAAACAAAACAATGACTTTATGATCGCGGATTGAATCATAAATATTTAAAACAAAAGTACAATAGAATTCATTCAATGCACAACGCGGACGCACAAGTTTTAATTCAGATACGCATTATATTTAATGTGATGTAAAAACATTGTCTCAGATTCATTAAGTATGAATATAATATAGTAAACAATAATTAAAACTGGGTGTGGATTCATTTGTTTATTTTTTATAGATGAAAAATGCAGATGATTGGCGGCTCATGTGAGGAGGAAATACGAGGAAATTGATTGAAGATGAAGACAAGACAAGACAAAAGCATTGATGCAGAAGTTAAAAAATGACCAGAGAGGAAAAAAAAAAGGCAAAAATATGGAGAACTTGCACTAAAACCCAGAACAAGAGGTATATAGACGATATGATTTTTAAATCAATTCAATACATAGCAATGTCTAACTGATTGTCAACCAAATTTTGTATAAAAGCATCTATCTAGTAATAGAAAGAAAACTAAATTATAATTTAAAAAAATTTAATAGGCTTCCATACGTTTAGACTTCCAAAAAGCAGAGTCAAATTAAGATCCAAATCGTACAGAAGAGACATTTAATTATTACAAAATAATGTTCATTTTCTGTTCTTTGTACAGTTGTTTGTATTATTTATCTAATATCAATATTATCAAATCATTCATAATATTAATGAAAATAATTCATTTTTCTTTAATATTATCAAAAAAATTTCAGCAGCCATTTTTTTGCCTTGGAACATAGGTTTCGATACCCTGATGTATGAAGTTGAAAAGTTTGAAAAAATTTTCGAAACAAAAAATTC